ATGTGGGACTCGGCCTCAGGATGAACGGAGAAGTGGTGCCTCGATGCGCACCCGGGATCCGAACCCGGGCCACCAGCATCGCAGCGCGCGCGCTTAACCACCAAGCCACAGGGCCGGCCCTGTTCAGAAATACTTTTAATTCTATTGCGTACTTCCTCTCAGTCCTTGGAAATACAGGGCTGAATCTGATTTGCAAAAAATGGAGAAGGTGGCAGTAGTAGTCTGGATAATTTTCTTCTTTCAGGGAAATGGACCGAAGAAGAAGAAAAGAGACTTGCAGAGGTGGTTCATGAATTGACCAGCACTGAGCCAGGTGACATAGTCACACAGGGTGTGTCTTGGGCAGCTGTGGCAGAACGAGTGGGTACCCGCTCAGAAAAGCAGTGTCGTTCTAAATGGCTCAACTACCTGAACTGGAAACAGAGTGGAGGTACTGAGTGGACCAAGGAAGATGAAATCAATCTCATCCTCAGGTTTGTGTCCTAAATCTTTTAATGACTAAAGCTGCTTAATGGCTGTGGATGTCTTTATTGATTTTCCTTTTTTGGTTTCCCTAGATGCCTAATGTCTGAAAAGCATCCTTTCCATAGAGACACTCTTTAAGATCCTGAGTATTTCATATTGAGCTCTTTTTTTGTTTTGTGTTTGTTCCTTTTTAGTGGATTTAGTGCTCGTGCAAAGTGCCAGATTGAAGGCGTGGAGACTGAAGTCCTCTCTATATCCACAGAACAGGTATGGCACAGACAGTGGCAGTGCAGCTTTCCACTGTCCCACCAATGTGCCTCAGTCCTAGCCTAGGAGGACCGTGGTGAGGGGAAGAGGGCTATTCAGTCTCCATGCCCTTCAATCTTTTGCTACTAAGATTGCCAAGAAGAGGGTCCAGTCTACAGTTACCCCACACCTTCACACTGGACCAAATCAGACACTTCCATTTTATACATATCCAAAAATAGCTTTAAGATCATAATCCCAAGCTTATTTTTTAAATTAGTTGGTTTAACCATTAAGACTCAGTGACTCAAATGGGCAAAAATACCGGCAAGAAAACACTTGAGACACTGAAGTAATAGAAGCTGTCATTGTGGCTGCTCCCTACGGAAAATCAAAATCATCCTGACAGTGAAAGCTAGAAAATGAATAGACTATTAAAACTCCAAATTTAGTCATACTATTTTGTTGGTTGTGTTTTTGGTTGCTGCTGGAGTATTGTTTTTGTCTTTTTATTTTGATTTGGGTTTTTTTTTTTTAATAGTTTATTTTTTCAACTAGTCATCTTTATGAATAGCTTATTTCTAAACATTTTTGTTTATTTTAAAAATAGAGGGGCCAGCCCGGTGGTGTAATGGTTAAGTTTATGTGCTCTGCTTCGGCGGCCCGGGGTTCGCAGGTTCATATGCCAGGCATGGACCTACATACCATTCATCAAGCCTTGCTGTGGCAGCGTCCCATATACAAAGTGGAGGAAGATTGGCACAGATTTTATCAGGGACCATCTTCCTAACCAAAAAAATAAAAATAGAAAAGCTCAGATCCAGGCAATAACACACTATAAAATAAAACATTGCAGAATACTATACAACTAAACCTGTTCTTATCCTATTCTAACCTAGAGCTACTCCCTTCCCTTCACAGTGCTTCATGTGGTTCTCACCATTTATGGTTCAGCCCATTGGTTGTACCATTAACAAAAGGCTATGCTGGTGATATTTCATAGCTCTTAGCTCTGGAAGCAGGTCTGCACTCCTGGAATCCTTTCCCATGCAACTTAACAATAGCATCTCAGTGACATAACCTGCCATTCCCTTTATTGCCAGTGCCATCACGTGTAGTCAGGAGGGTTCTTAGGGAGAAATAAATTAATATTTAACAGATGCTTATTTTGTAACCTGTAGGATAGCAGAGCTTGACGTAGCTGATGAAAACGACATAAACTGGGATCTGTTAGCAGAGGGATGGAGCAGTGTCCGTTCACCACAGTGGCTTCGAAGTAAATGGTGGACCATCAAAAGGCAAATTGCAAACCATAAGGATGTTTCATTCCCTGGTAATGTATTGTTTGCTTCTTAAGTCCTTCCCTTTTCTTACCATATTTACTCCTTAGGAGTTAGAGGTTAGAATCTCTTTACCTCAGCTAAAGAGATATGAATGACAGTAGCTATTCACTTAAACCTCTGCCCTATTTCTTTGGGTAACTTGTCTTTTCTTCCCTTGAGAAGAGTGGATGTGATTTGTAATTCTCAAAGCACCTAAGATGACAGTATACACATTTGCACACGTTGTTATCTCACATAAACTATGAAGAGGAAATAAATTTTATATATATACTTGCATTGTGTACAAACGTATTTCTGAAAACTTAAGTTTAAATCAACTTTTGAGTTGAATAATTTCAAAATCTTAACTGGGTTTGTTATTTAGAGAAATTCTGTAGTAATTTATTTTTAGAACAAAGGCTCTGTAAATTTCTAATTTCATTTGTTATGTAAATCTCGATTTTAAGTTGGGTTTGCTTAAAAGTGAGGCATAGCATACTTTTCACTTCATTGCCTGCTTTGCGTTTAGGCACTAAAACTAAGTTGGACAGTCTGTTTAATTTAGGTAATCAAATTCATTCCCCTTAGTATAGTGCTCCAACTTCCATTTTTCCAAAGGAAAATTAAATGCTGAGAAACTTTGGCTTGATGAAAGTATGATTTTTTTAAAAATTAAATACCCAGTTATAAATTTATAAATCTGATTTTAAAACCAGAAGAGTGAATGAAGACTAATGTAACATGAATCCAGCCAGACTGCAGCATCACCTAAGAGGACTGATGTAGTTATCATGACTGACGGAGGAGGGCAAGTCTGGAGTTGGCTTTCATGTACAAGAACTCAGGGTGGTTGCATCTTACTGTTTGAAAAGATCAGTTGCTTCTCTGGAGTTGTGAGTTCGACTCCCAGCCAACTGATTATGCTCTTGCAGTGGCTAAAACAGTCAAGTGCCCTTGAGTCCTTGGTGGGGAAGTACACTCTTCATTTAAAAATGAAAATAAGCTACTTAGCATTACTAATATTCTTCCTAAGAATATTAAGAATTTTATCAAGAAGTCCTAGGACATAGAAAATGTCTTATTTCCATGTTCCTCACAATGGCTATTTTTAAAATGCATCTTAAATGGCAAAAACAGTATTATGTTATGAATTTTTAAAATCTGTTGTGATGGATAATGTTTCCAAAAATTTCCAGACAGGTTGTAGTTTTAAAATACTTTTATTGTTATTTTGGTAAGATCTCACATCCAGTATACAATTATTTCTTCCAAATACTTTCCCTCCTTACCACCCCCTCCACCTCCCTTGCTGCTTAGATGGTGGTCTGTCGGAGAGAATCAATGTTCTTTTTGTCTACCCATCTCCCTTCAGTCTTAATAAAAGGTCTTAAACAGTTACATGAGAATCAAAAAAACAACCCAACGCTTTTGGACAATAAATCAGGATCTGGAGTTCCAAACAGTAATTCCAATTCCAGTGTACAGCACGTTCAGATCAGAGTCGCCCGCTTGGAAGACAATACAGCCATTTCTCCAAGCCCCATGACAGCCTTGCAGATTCCGGTCCAGATCACCCATGTCTGTAAGTGTTTGAACCTCAAGACTCCTTGCTATTTGACTTACATGATTTGGTTAATGGCTCTGACATCTTTCAGTCTTCTAGAATGTTGATAGAAATTTATCCAAGTCACAGAATTAAAGGAGATCTAAGGCATTTTATGTTTATTAGCTTAATATTTGCACAAAGGATGAATGTGTGACAGGAAGGACTGATAACCAACTGCCTAGCCATTATAAACCATTTTAAATCCTCTTATTTCCTAGATGTTATAAGGAATTAATAATGAATAGAAAACTACCTAAAATATAGTCATTTGAGCAAGGAAATAGAGTTCATAAGGTGGCATATTATTTGTAGTAATTCACAAGAAGAGACACAAATTGGGAATGGATTTGAGGTGATATGTAGAAGAAATGGGTTTTGGTGAGGTTGAAAAAGATTTTCTTCAGAGAGTAAAGAGCCAGTTTCCTATGGGAACTGTTTTGTTGACTTCTCTCTTTTCCTTAGCCTCTGACATTTTTTGTGCTAAATGAGATATGAGGAGCCAGCACTTGTTATAGGGAGGGAAAATTTATTTCCTAAGGTCTAAGCCAAGTTGATCTTTCTACCCTTCTTTCTATTATAGAGTGACAGAAAAGGAATGAGAATCAAATTCTCAGAACCATATTATCCTTCACTTACTTTTACCTCCCTTTTTTTCCCCCTACATAATGCTATTTGCCTATGGAAAGGTTATTGCCCAGAGTATACCAATCACTGTGTATTATTCCCAACCAGGAGATTATTGGCATTTTGCATGGGACACTTCTGTGTTAGCTGGGCTTTGCAGGATGTTCAGTGTCCCTTGACCTCATCCACAAAATGCCAGTAGTGCTTTCCAGTTATTATGACAAATAGAAACACCCTACACATATTCAAATGTACCCTGTGATCCTCTGTTTGAGAATCACTGGGTGTTATTAACACTATGTATCTGTATATACAGTGACTGTCAAGGTTTCTTTAGAGACATTTAAACCAATCATGCCTGTCTTATTCTTAAAAGTTCTAGTTTAAATTTGGTTATTTGCTTTAGCTTTCTACCAGTGTAATAAAGCATGAAGAATTTCTTTTCTTTGTCCCTACTTGTTTTGTATGGTAGTCTTGAGAATTGCAAAGCAACTAAAATTACTAGTCCACCATAAATATGAGAACTGCTATTGGCTATAAATCGATTGTGCATGGAGATTGTTACAATTTTCCTTGGCCATTGGATTGACGATACTTATTGGGAAAACAGCAAATATTAAATAGTACTTTAATATTCACTCACAGCATGGCTTTTTAAAAGTACTTAGAATAATTTTATTTCTTCCAGCAAGAAATGTGAGTATAGTAAGAGTTTTACAACACACCCATTATTCTTGGCATTCAGGTTAAAATCGCATGACGTTTCTTCCTTTAGGTTAGGGGTCAGGCATCGGCAAACTAGCCAGAGCAGTAAATATGAATATGTTAGGCTTTGCAGGCCACATAGGTCTCTGTGGAATTTTCTGTTTTGTTTTTAAACAATTCTTTAAAAATATAAAAACCATTCTTACCCTTGAACCACACTTGTCCCCGGCCATAGTTTGCTTACCCTTGATTTAGGCTATTTGTCTGGAATCACTTCAAATTGTTCTAGGTATGATCTTAGGAATCCATCAAATAGTAAGAGAAACAACATGAATCAAGTGCATTTCTTTTGGTAAAGGTATTACATTTCTTTCAAACTGAGAAGTGTTATAGACAGAATGTAATAAACAAACACTGCACATTAAAAGTCTATTCTAAATCATTTTTGACATGGATTTACTTACAGGTGAGACCAAAAGCAACAAAGGAGATCACATTTCTTCTCATTAGTCTTAGTTCTAGATAACCTTGAGCAGACACTGATCAAGTCTGAGCCTCAGTGGACATACCTATAAAAAAATTATACTATCTGATCTCTAAAGTGCTGTTCGGCCTCCCAAGTATGGTCTTCTGAAATAATTATATTTATTTCATGTTTTTGATCCTCACAACAATTATGTGAGGTAGGCAGGACAGATAAAGTCTTGGAACATTAGCTTGGGTTAAAGTAAATTATTTGCCCAGGTTTATAGTGCTAGAAAGTAATGTCACGAGAATTAAAGCCAAGTGTTCTGGGACTACCATTCCAGACATCTAAACTGTAGAATGTCCAGGAAAATTTATTTTTTACCAGGTTCCTAGCTTTTTGCAGGTTAGGCTTAGTATATTCTTCTTACTTCCTAATATTAAAAATACTTTATGATCTGTACCAGGGGTTAGCAAATATTGTTTCAGTGACTGCTACTCATCTGTGCTCTTCTAGTGCAAAAGCAACCATAGAAAATAAATAGACAGACAGTGGTAGCTGTGTTCATATAACACTTTATTTACAAAAACTGGTAGTGGGCTGGGTTTGGCTATAGCTATAGTTGGCTAACCCCTGATCTATGTCATCCCAGACAAATCCATTAGAAATGACTTTAGGTTTCCAGGCAAATTATTCAATATGAGATTGCTTTCATAATACTTGACTACACAAGGGAAATTTAAGTTTATAAAATATTTTATTTATTGTTGTCCTTGTTCTTACCACAGCTTCAGCAGACTCTCCTGCTGCTACTGTTGACTCAGAAACAATAACACTAAACAGTGGAACACTACAGACGTTTGAGATTCTTCCAGTGAGTAATACTTTACAAAGTAGATATTGGCCATTTTTATGCATAAGAAAGATCAGTTGGTATCAGTTTTAGAAATGCTATCATATAAGCAAATATATAAAAATTAACAAGATTGGCATTAAATGCAACTACGTCCATGATTTTGATGCCAGATGGTTAGAAAACAACATAAATCAAACTTACACTTTTATAATTACTTCTAGTCTTTTTCTTCATCTGTATATAAACCAATAATATACTCTTTTTATATATGAAAATGACAGTGCTGATTAGTAGAGTACATGCTGTGGATTTTTACTGAATCATAAACAAATAAATAACCAAAAGTTCATATTGGTTGAGAAAAAGTTTGTGGAATGAATTAATTAACAACATTCATTCAGTAAACACTGCACTAACTACTGGGGATACAGAATTTAAAAGTCTCAGTCCTAAATGGTATAGCCACTTTGGTAAAGAATCTTGCAGTCCCTAAAAAGGTTAAACATATAGTTGCCATATGACCCACCAATTCTAATCCCAAGTATACCTAAGAGAAACGAAAACATATGTCCACATAAAAACTTGTACATGAATGTTCATAATAACCAGAAAGTGTAGAAACAACTCAATCGTCCATCCACTGATAAACAGATAAATAAAATGTGCTATAACTATACAAACGATTATTTGGCAGTAAAAAAGAAGGAAGTACTGATACATGCTATGACCAGGATGAGCCTTGAAATATGCTAAGTGAAAGAAACTAAACACAAAATACCATGTAGCGTATGACTCCCATTTATTTGAAATGTCCAAAATGTCCAAATCTATAGAGACAGAAGGTAGATTAGGGATTGTCTATGCTAAGAGGTTTTGGGAAGAGATAGGGCATGACTGCTAATTTGAATGGGGTTTCTTTTGGGGGTGATGGAAATTTTTTTAAAAGCTCCAGTTTCTGCCCTGCTTTCTGAAATAGGTAAACCCGGAATTAGTTCATTTTTCATGAAGAAAGCATGCAGATTTTATTTAAATTATGTCAAGATTTATTTGCTGTGCAGAACATAAGGGGCATTAGTACAAGAGTTTATTTATCCTCTCCACAGCCATTCTCATGAGGATGGCCAGAATAACAAAAGGTTCTCTTTGGAACTTCTGCTAACAGCGTACTTAATCTGAGCCTCAGTTTCCTAACCCAGTGGTCTCCAGAATAGGGATGTATAAGATGACCATTTGTCCTAGGTAGAAAATAGAATTTGATTTTACTTTTTTGTTTTGCCATCGCCCCCTTCCCCCCGGCCAAATAAACGATATATACACGTATATTTGGGGTATGTGTTCAGGTTTTTACTTATGGGGTTACAATCAAATATTTAGAGACTTCTGTCCTATATTATTAACAGAGGATGATCATTGTGCCTCAGCTTCAAAAAATTGTGAGCATTATATGTATTTAAGTATATTAAATAAAATACATATATATAATATATATTTATACATGTAAAGTATTTACTATACTGCTTGACCGTAGGTAATTAATAAATACAACACTTAGGAAAACGATCAGCTTCCACTTTTTTTTTTTTTTTTTTTTTTTTGCTGAAGAAGATTCACCCTGAGCTAACATCCACTGCCAGTCTTCCTCTTTTTTTTGTATGTGAGTCTCCACCACAGCATGGCCACTGACAGACGAGTAGTATAGGTCTGCAACCAGGAACCGAACCCGGGCCACCAAAGCAGAGAGCACAAAACTTAAACCACTAGGCCACCGGGGCTGGCCTGGCGTTCACTTTTAGGGAGAGGGAAGAAATTGAGTTCCCACTGTGTGCCAGGCCCCATCGTAATCATTTCTAATCCTCACAACCCTTTCCATGAGAGGTAGTTCTTGTCCCCTCTTCAGCAATAAAGAAACCAAGATTCAGTGAGACGGCACCCAGGAGAGCTGTTGTGGCTTACGTCCACAGGGACCGCACTGGACTAAAGAACAGGTTACATATGTGACTTTAACCTCCAGCTCTATTTTAAGTGTAAATATTTTTCCTTTAGGGCAAATTATTATACAGAAGCTTATTGTCGCGAAAGGTGTATTGGTGTTGAATAGTTTTGTTATGCTTGCATAAAAAAAATCTCAAAACATAAGCATATTATCGTTTAACCAGCTTTTCAAATAGGAATTTTCTTTTTCTTTCAGCAGAACACTAACTGCTATTTCTGTACATTTCCCCTTAATATAAAAAATATTTTCTAAAATTATACTATGAAAAAAATCTGTTCAAGTAAGTAAGCACTGCTAGAGGGCCTTTTCAAAAATGTGAAGCTTTTTCTTTACACTGCAAGACTGCCAGTTTTTATGTGCTACAGAAAGAGAGTAAAGAGGGATTGGGTTTGCTGGGTTACTGCACTGGAAACAGTGGCTTATGTGACCATGTCTTCGTGCTGTGAAACAAATAGCTGAGACCAGACCACAGAAATACATGGCAGTGAAGACCAGGGAAAGGCTTCTGCCTGTTCAACCTCCAGGCCGTGTAATGACTTAGAACAGTTAATAGTCAAAATTATTCCCTTCATTTTATTACTTGTTTGCATCTTCACGATTGGTAAGTAATTTGTAGCTAGTAAGTTCAAGTCCCCATTTTGGATGTAAAGCTAGACTTAATGAATACTAGTAACTCTACTTAATCAGTAGTCTGTTGCACCTGTGTTGATCTTATTATCTTTTTCCTTCAGTCTTTCCATTTACAGCCCACTGGCACTCCAGGCACCTACCTGCTTCAAACAAGCTCAAGCCAAGGCCTTCCCCTAACTCTGACTGCTAGTCCCACTGTCACCCTGACAGCTGCTGCTCCTGCTTCTCCTGAACAGATCATTGTTCATGCTTTATCCGTATGTTACCTGATAGAAATTCCTTGATGATTCTAGTTTCTGTAGAGAAGATTGGCTAACTGATAAGCATCACCAGAGATAACAGGATGTTTTTACTAGTGTTTAATACTATGATAGAACCCATGTGCCTTCAATAACAATATCTCTAGGGGGGAAAAACCAATTTTGAGCTCAGTTCAAGTATTTGCATACATGTTAGGGACCAAGATTAGTTGATACAAAATATTAGAGGCAAAACTAATGCAGTACCTTTATTTAAACAATTCTTCCTACTGCTGTTGTCCCACGGGCAATGTTTTACACCATCATTGTGCCTTCATGGGGTATATCCTGTGTCTTACATGAGATGGACTTACATGAAGGGGAATAGGGACATTATGAGAGCAAAGGCCCCAGTGGGTAAAGAATAGGGGTTCTAGAAAAATAGTCATAAGAACACTGTAGTTCCAGAGGTGAGAGGTATAGGAGTCAGTAGGGTACCACCTATAAATGCCATTTGTTGCCTATACCCTAAGTCTGGTAGGTACTTTTTCATTTTGCCATTGATCATTTTCTTTAACAATTTATAGCCAGAACATTTGTTGAACACAAGTGACAACGTCACAGTGCAGTGTCACACACCAAGAGTCATCATTCAAACTGTTGCCACAGAGGACATCACTTCTTCCATAGCCCACGCAGAACTGGCTGTAGATAAGGATATTCATTCATCTGATTTTCCTGAGCCTCCAGATGCTCTAGAAGCAGACACTTTCCCAGATGAAATTCATCCGCCTAAGATGACTGTAGAGCCATCATTTAATGATGCTCATGTATCCAAATTGAGTGACCAAAATAGCACAGAACTGATGAATAGTGTTATGGTCAGAACAGAAGAAATCTCTGACACCGACCTTAAACAAGAGGAGGACTCACCCTCGCATTTAGCCCATGCTTATGTTACTGAGGTAAGTTGCACTTAAGGGAACAACCTAATGGGTTCTTACCTTGAACCTCAAATCTGGAGTTTGGAGAGAGCCTAGAAATAATTTATGGGCGGGATATCCTCCGGTACCTTCCTCTTTTCTTTAGACACACAAAGTGCAACTCACAACTATCAGTCAACCAGCAGTGTTGCTCTCTCCTACCACGGTTTCTCACTAAAACCTTTACCTCTTCACCTCAATAGATTGAGAAATGTCTGGTGGAACCCATGGAAGCATTTTCCTGAGGGTGGTTAGTAACAGATCTTTGTGGTTCAGCTTAGAACCTCACCCCACAGTATAACAGCATTGTTTCTTCTCTAGTCAGGGGACCTATGACTGAACTGGTACTTTTAAGTTCTTTTTTTGTTAATATTTAGTACATTAGAGTATGAGGTTATTATTTTGTTCATTTTAAGACTTTACCTTTCATTTCTTTATATTCTAATTTATAATGTTTGAAAGTTAAGTCCTTTCAAACCTAAATGTGTTCGGAATCTTAAGGAAAACTGGTAAGGAATATGAGTCAGAATCTCTCTTTTTAATTATGTAGGATTTAGAGTCTCCCACCATACAAGAACAAGTTGATCAAACAACAATCGATGATGAAACGATACTTATCGTTCCTTCTCCACATGGCTTTATCCAGGCATCTGATGTTATAGATACTGAATCTGTCTTGCCTTTGACAACACTAACAGGTACTGTAATACAACTCCATCGTGTGCCTGATAAATTTGAAGGGGAAAATCAGGCAGTCAGATTTTTAATTCAGTTCTTCTAGTCTTTCTTGATCCAATAATAAAGATATTAGTCTTGTTAAATTTGCACTTTGGGAGAATACCTATTCTAAATTCTTGACATGGATTAGAGAAGATATACATTTAAGACTAACTTGAAATTTAACTCGTTACAGATCCCATACTCCAACACCATCGAGAAGAATCAAATATCATTGGATCATCTTTGGGCAGTCCTGTTTCAGAAGACTCAAAGGATGTTGAGGATATCGTAAACTGTCATTAGGTAATTCTTAGAAGCAGGTTGTTCAAGCAAAGAAGCCACACTGTTAATGACAACATCTCCAGAGAACTAAGAGCAACTCCCAAGAGGCTTGATTTACCATTCCTCTGGCTCTTAAATAGCTACAGTGCTTGAGCCACATACAGCGTTGCTGCTATGACTTTTTACCTCCTTGAAATATATCAGCTGAGGTCTAGTCTGATGACAGTGTGTCCCTGAGTGGAGTATGGGGGTCTTAACTGCAGAGATCCCTGTGATTAGTGTTATTTGTCAGCAGGGAATTGCATTCACTTCAGCTACTGAGAAAAGTTTAAAATCACCAAAGCTTAACTACTCTGTTTTAAAAGCAGTAATATTCATGTCTAAAGATCAGATACGGCTCCCTATCCAGTCTCAAGTAGGCCTGTTTATATCTCAGAGAAGTCACATCAACATGGTCTAGAGCTTACCAGTGACCTTCTTCAAAAACATTAAGTATCATTAGTTTGCGACTTGAGCAGCCTACAAGTACAGAGACCTAGGAGGTGACTGTGTGGCAGCGGTTTTTGCTTTACCCATTGCTGGCAGTGGGAGCGGATCCAGGCTGGGTAAAGAGGAAAGCATTAAAAGAGTTAAGAAAATTCACTACAGGTTTTTTATTACTTTTAAAGGGAATATGGATGAGAGTAGTAACAAAACTCACCAGAAGCTCAATAGAGTTTTCACTGTCTCAGAACCCACTGTCATCAGTTTACAAAGTTAGCACTTTGAAGTAAAATTAAACTAAATGGGAAAGGAAGTCAAGTTCCCTATCCTATACCATGACCGTTTCTTACACGTTGTGCTTATATAAATTACTCGGAAAATAGTTAAGGAGGGTATCAGAGTTTGCCGTTCACTTAGTGCATTAGCTAGTGGGGGTGCATTATAACTTGTCCCTCTCAGGCAATTTTAAAAAACAAAATTTGCTTCTGTAACGAAAAGAAACAAATCAAGAGTCATTCCTATAATATAGAAAGTTAAGCCAAAACTAGCTTATAGGGCTTTAATGAATATGATCCCTAAAGAAAAGTCACAAAAAAGAAAACCTTGTATAAATTATTTTATTTATTATTGTAATTAGATCTTCACAATCAAAGTTGTCTTTTCACCATCTGTGTTTTGTTAACGTGAAATTAAATTGTAGTTGTAAGCAAAAGTTGGTTGCCTAGGGAACAATAACTGTATATTCAGTTTAACAGAAATAAAAGAATATTTGTCTTAAAATACAAGATTGTTTGTTACATAGCCTTTCGCCATACAATTACATTATAAAAAATTTTAATTTCAAAAGTGGAAATTACTTGTGCTGTTTGAGCTTTAAGGGTTGGAATGTTTAAGTGCAACATCAGCTCCTTAAAGAAAAAGCAAAGTGATCTACGATATGTCTCCCCTGTAAGAGGGAATTTAGATTTACAATTAACATGAAAATCATGGATCAGACGTCTGCAGGCGATTCTTCAGCATACCTTAGCCAGCTCTTCTTCGCAGTCCTAAGATATAGCTCTGAAGAGACCTGCTAAGTATTTCTCCTTGGCAGCCTCACTTTCCCACGTCATGGAAGTACAGGTTCGCACATATACATAACATGATGATAGAAAATAAAATATAGTAAATTAGATTTCTAAATTTCGGTTCTAAGTCTCCTTGTCGATACCAGTAGATCTAAAAGAAGAAGAATTAAATAAAAGTTTAAGTAATAGCCGCTGGGCTGAGTATTAAAAATACAACTAATTCTTTTTCCACTGTGACTAATTTCATCTGTATATACTTTTTCCCCTAAATGAGAGTCTTTATATTAATATAATCTACATTCCTAAGACTAACAGAGCCAGAATTTAATTCTTACTCTTTATAATTTAAGTGGTACCAACTAAGTTTCTACATCCAAGATCATATTTATTCCTGCTTTCTCAGTTAACTGTGTTATATGTTCAAACCAATAGAGTCCACCAATCATTTGGCAAGCCATCCAAGAATATATACCTTCCAGATATATTTTAAATATATTTGAGTAAAAGGTGCAACTCTTTTAGGTACTGGAAGGGAGGACAACTTTTAAATTCATATTCTCTGGTTTAAACTAGATCACTGTTAGTCACTTCTAGCTTTAGGTTGGGAGTGGGAGGAGAGCATCTCTGGTAGCTTTATTTCAAAGGCTCCCCAAGTGGGATGGGCCAGTTCTTCCCTCAGGTCAGAAGCTTGGAGGTGTCCCCTGGATTAGTTTTAACTCCAATAAGTACATTACTATTATGATTTAAGCCGTATGTGAGTCAAAACAATTGTATTTAAGGCTTTACTGTTTGGACGCTGCCTCTCAAGGGAAATGAAACAACAGCCAACTATTGAATGACTGAACACTTGGCAAATACCTAACTGAAGATCTACCACCGTCTTTGTTTCTTTACCTAAAAAAAAAGCTTCTTTGTAGTAAAATGGAACATTCTTGTGACAAGGATACAACTGCAGCTTTAGGTTTCGCAGGAGATTTTGGTGTTAATTACTTTCATTTGGGGAGATAAGCACAGAGATTAATTTTGTAATTATTAGCTATAAATCCAGAGTTCTGTATCTCTTCCCTTAAGAGCAGTAATGGCATTTCCCAAAGCCTGCTGGGCCCTGTGTGTAGTCCTTGAAGGAAGATGAATAAAATAAATTACATCAAATCTTTGGTTACCTAAGTCTTTTAACTGTTTTTATTCTTCCATTTTTTTACCTCTCAAGAGAACAGAATTTCCCTTTAGGGGTACAACTTGGGGATTTAGGAGAAAAGATGGAAACTCAGATTTTAAAAAAAGTCTGCAATTAATGTTGAGAATTCTGACATCTTTTGGGGGAGGAAAGTGTAATTAGAGATACCCTTTCATATAGACCTGGACTGGGAATCTGTCCTAGGCACTGCAGCCTTCTTCAGCCCTCAAGGATACTCAATTTAAATTCTAAATGGTACTCACAAGTATGCAGGCGGTAATACTAATCAAAGAGATGCAGACAGCAAAAAATATATTCAGTGGTTTTGGAGGTAGTTGAGGGAAAACAAAAGCACTGATCAGCGTTACCTGCATGAAGAGAAATTACGTCAGGCCTTAGCAGTATTCCAAGACTTGGTTAGACTGGAGTCTAGGCAATTTAATATTATAAAATGCTTCACACTGTAAAATGAAATCTACCAGGTTTGCCTTCTGGAATGTTAATGTTAAATAAAATATTTGTAAATATGTTCGATTGTGTTATTTCTTTTAGTACTTCCTCCTCCTAACCTTTTTCTCCTTTATGAAAGGAGACAAAAACATAGAGCAGTAGGGGCCGGCCCCGTGGCTTGGTGGTTAAGTGAGCGCGCTCCGCTGCTGGCGACCCGGGTTCGGATCCCGGGCGTGCACCGACGCGCTGCTTCTCCGGCCATGCTGAGGCCGCGTCCCACATACAGCAACTAGAAGGATGTGCAGCTATGACACACAACTATCTACTGGGGCTTTGGGGGGAAAAAATAAATAAATAAAATCTTTAAAAAAAAAAAAAAACATAGAGCAGTAAAACTAGCTAACCTCAAAATAACCTCTTTAACAAAGATTAGAGGGGCCGGCCCCATGGCTTAGCGGTTAAGTGCGCACGCTCCGCTACTGGCGGCCCGGGTTCAGATCCCAGACGCACCGCTTCTCCAGCCACTCTGAGGCCGCATCCCACGTACAGCAACTAGAAGGATGTGCAACTATGACATACAACTATCTACTGGGGCTTTGGGGGAAAAACAAAGAAGGAGGATTGGCAATAGACATTAGCTCAGAGCCGGTCTTCCTCAGCAAAAAAAGAGGAGGATTAGCATGGATGTTAGCTCAGGGCTGATCTTCCTCACAAAAAAAATAAAAAAATATGGCCGGCCCCATGGCTTAGCGGTTGAGTGCACGTGCTCCGCTGCTGGCGGCCTGGGTTCGGATCCCGGGTGCGCACCGAGGCACGGCTTCTCTGGCCATGCTGAGGCCGTGTCCCACATACAGCAACTAGAAGAATGTGCAACTATGACATACAACTCTCTACTGGGGCTTTGGGGGGGAAAAAATTAAAAAAAAAATATTAGAAAGCATTTAAACCTCATTCCCAGGATTAATGATTATACTGGGGAAAGTTTTAACCTTTTTGTTATTTTGAATACTCCAACAAAAAATATAACCAAAACTGTTTTTGCTTAACATGAAAAATACTGAAAGGTTTCTAATACCCTATAGTTCTATTTCAACTGTGGATAGAGCATTATACCCATTTTTTTTTTTTTTTTATTAAGAAGTCATGGAAACAAACTTCACTAAAATTCTCTAAAATTTCATGAAAATGTGCCACAGAAATGTCACTCTCAGACTATGGAAAGTATAGCTTTGTTTTTATTTTATTATGATAGCACTAAGCATTATACAGGATGAAAAATTACTATATGCTGACCAGATAATCTTTTTAAACCAAAGGATAATGAATGTGCTTTAGGAACAAAATAAACAAGGTATCAGCAAAAATGAGGAGTTGTGGGTTATGTACAGAAGGGAGTTGTTGGTAGCCACTCAAGTGTCATAAATTTACTGGGCAGACAAACATGGCAAACTCAGAAAACCAAGTTATTTAACGTGTGCTATTACACATATTAAACTGGGAGGCGAGGGTGGAAATCAATTTAGCTACTCCAGTCACCAACTGTAATTCTGTTTAAGTGGTAATAAAATTGAAAGTTTTAATTTAACTATGACTGGAATACTTCACGTGCTCATGTACTGGCCCCTTTTATGTATTTTTTTTAAGAGTTAATTGAACCACAATATTAAAGTTTTCAGGCTAAGAGCCTGGGTGAGACACAAAAGAAAGATACTTACTAGAATCAATAAGGATGTTAAGCTGCCAACAACTAAATTGATGATTCGATCCTGAAAGAGAAATGAGTGTTTGAGCCATATCGTGGATCCATGGCACTTTCAGAAAGGTAACTGCTAGGCACTGGGGTGATTTAGAAGGAAAAAACCAAGATCCTGCCCCTCTCTGAGCTTTACACATATATACAACTGCCTGACAAGGCCAAGTGTACTGAGCCACCGGTGGGGAAAAGGTACTTTGGGAAGACAGGGACAACTAAGTGGAGAAGGTTTCTTGAAGGGACAGGACATTTTTTACACCGGAGTCTTGAGGGCTGGGAAGGACTGAATGGGGAAGAGAGGCATCCAAATAACCCGTGTGCTGCTGGCAACAGTATGAGCAGAAGCAAAGGGCCAGGAGCCCTGTGATGGCCAGCCCAGAGACTGGGTGAAAAGTATCTGGAACCGGAGATGTGAGTGCCATCATGAGTTGGGACCTATTTGTGATACAGTTTAGGTGGCCTTGTCTAATGTAATCTAAAAGTAGATGTGACGGCTAGACGGGATCACACAATGCCAAGGCTGGAGGCAACCTCAGACCATCTAGTCGGTGGTTTTCAAACTTATTTAATAGCGAAAGTTCAATAAATAAACAAAAGAAGAATCATTTGAACGAGTAGCCTGGGGTCCCAGCCATTGAACTTGCTTGTCATTCCCATGCCCACCTCAACCAACTCTACGGAAGGGTTTCAAAAACTTCTGATTTAATCAATCCTAATTTTATAGGTTGAAGTAAATTTACACCCAGTAAGTGTGGTTAAATTATTTGCCTCAAGTCATATGGCGCGTTAGAAGCAACTTTGAAACAAGATTTACTAAATCAGTAAATACTAAACCAGTATCACTGGTTAGATAGTTTCAGTTACAGGGACTAAAAAAAGGTAATATTTTATATATATACTATTATAATATTATTAGTAATACATATATTACTAATATATATACTATATATATAATATTAGGTTAATAGAAGTTATTTACAGAGCTTACAGAATAAAAGAGTTTAACAGCTGATTAGGAAAACTTAAGGCCAATGAGAAGATCAAGTCGTCTTATTTCTGTGAAGGCAAAGCTAAGTAAGGGATCAGTAGCCTTAAAGATTGTTTCGGTAACATCTGAGCAGAGAACAGCAGGCTATGATATGCAAGCAGCCAATAAAAGCTCAGGGATGGGAAGGGCAGAGGAACAAGTACAGAGCAACTCATTTCTAAGTTTCTACATTTAAAGATAAGAATCCAAATAAGTTTAGAGGCAGGCAGGCAAAGCTTGGAGGGAAGAGTGAATGTGTGCCTGATCTAACTAAGGACAAACCACACTCTCCAGACCAAGGCCACTGCAATTCAGAAAGTTATATAGGACAAAGGAAACTGAACTCCAGCCACACCCTTGCTAAACTAGGAGGACTCAGAACAGATCTTATCACCAGCTCAGCTCGAGAAGCCTGCACAGCACACAGGAGTCTGAAATTATGACCATTTGTTAGGGAAGAGACCCAGGGCAAATCACTGATGACTATTAACTTAGTCCCACACTAGACAAACGTGCATGTGTTTAACATAAAATGTGTACATAAACAATCTATTAACAGGAGCCCCATTGTTTTTGACTTGTGAAAAAGGTTCAACTAAACTCTTCTTGTCTCTTGTCAGAAGTCAAGAATATCTGCTCCCATCTCATAAACGTGTGAGCTCCAGCAATTTGCAAGAGTCCACAAAGGCCTGCACAGCTCACAACAGCTCTTATCAATAGAAAGAAGCCTGTGAAGAGGTTCAGGTGTGAGACAGCCAAGAAGAATCACTAATGTCCAAACAGCACAGCATGGGGCCGGCCCGGTGCCTAGCGGTTAAGTGCACGTGCTCCGCTGCTGGCAGCTCGGGTTCGGATCCCGGGCGCGCACCGACACACCCCTTGTCAGGCCATGCTGTGGCGGCGTCCCACATAAAGTGGAGGAAGATGGGCATGGATGTTAGCTCAGGGCCAGTCTTCCTCAGCAAAAAGAGGAGGATTGGCATGGATCTTAGCTCAGGGCTGATCTTCCTCACACACACAAAAAAAACAGCACAGCAAGTTCCCAACCAGGATCAAAGCAGGGGAACAATAATAATGGTGAAGGGACAGTAACTATGCCAAGAGCTTGTGCACATCTTCTCTTCTAAAAAAACCCTAAGATGAACTGGCATTGTGACTATTTTACAGGTGGCAAAATCAGGGAAATTGAGAACTTGCTCAAGGTCTCAATCCAGTAAGTGATGAAAACAGGATTCAATGCCAACAGAGCTCTTCACTGAAAGAGCAACCTAGAAATGTTCTGGTCTACACAAAGATATCAAGTGGCAGACGGCACCTCAAAAAGCCTATTAGCAAAGTACTACAGAAAAGTGTTTATCTTTCAGGAATAAAGATTTCCTCATAAATAATCTTTTCAGATTGTTGAACTTATCCATGTAAGCCTAACTAGTTTTAATCATTCATGGACATATACTGAAACTTTAATGAATACTTCCCTGCTTGCCTTCTAGACAGTTCACTACGGACTTCCAAGTCATCTTCATGAATATCAGTTATTCTCCTGTTACGGTGCAGTCTCTCTGGGACTCCCAAAGTAGGATGAACTATTTGGGATATGCAGAAGTGGTTCTCACAGGGTTTTCTTTCTCCAAGCCAAGGCCTTGGCTTCAGGGCTTCTGCTATCAAAGTAACCATGAATTCAGGCCAAACAAACAGCAGACTTAGCTTTGGAAGACCTCCCACTTCCAGGCTCTTTCTTCTAAACTCTGTCTATGCAAAGGCCCAGCAGTATCAGCCTCACCCGGGAGCATGTGAGAAATACAGAACCTTGCCCCAGGACCTCTGAATCAGACTCTGCATTTTAACAAGATCCTCAGGGGATCTGTGTGCACATTTCAATTTGAGAAGCACTGCTCTCAAGTTTAGAGTCTAAACTAAACCATTCTGAATACTGGTAAGTTCACATCACAGGGTAAAGACCTTTCCCTGGGCCCCGAGGCTATTTTTCAGGGCTTCAGCTGCCCCCCCAGCTCCCAGTCTCCAAAGATAAAAGAATAATAGAGAATAATTAAACAACCAGTTAACTTAGCATTTCAAAGGGCAGTTTTAAAATTAATATGCTCCAAATCAGAAATGGAGTGCATAAAGAAAAGAGAATACTGCATTTAAACTTTGCTGTTTATGGAATGAACTGAAACTTAGGTTCTATTTCCACTTCTATAGCTAGTCTCTATTAATTCAATTATTTAATTTCTCACAGAAACTAACTCTGTCTCCTCCCCGGTTCTATTATTACCCTATTTCCATCTACCAAAACTGTCCTCCCCTCCCAGAGCTTTAAACTTTGTATTGTTTTTATTTTCACTCCCCAAGGAAGCTTGACAGGATCAGAATCAGCCTTGATCCTCACCTGCAGAGAGACTAGGATAGGAAATTAGGATAGCCTTCTCAAAGACAAATAGCCACAGGCTGAGAGACTGTCTTAACTCATTATATATATATATATATATATATATATATATATATACACACACACACACATACATGAGCACATGAACATAAAAATACACATATATATACATATGTAGTATAGTTCTGAGAGGGATTCTATATATGTTACCTCATAAGTTATTTATTCATTTAAACATTATCTCAATTATATATCAATAAAACTGGAAAAAAATTATCTACTGTATTCCAGATGCAAATACAACAATGAATAAAACCATCTCTAGCCTCCAGAAGTTCACTATCCAGAGCTCATGAGGGCACTAACGAGAAAGGAAACGAGGTGCCTGGGGCAGTCAGGGAGACAGCAGCAGAAAAAGCCAAACCTGCAAGAGGACTAGCAGATGAACAAGGAAGGAAAAGGCGGTTCATGGAGAAGGAACTTCGCAAAGACCCCAGGGAGGACAAAAGCACCGCTGTCACAGAAAAGAAACCAGGCAACTGGAGAGAGCTAATAGGTGAGCAAACTGAGAGGAAAGGGGCTGGGATCAGCCTGAGCACAAAGGAGTCTCGTCTTCATCTTCCTTTGAAAAGGAGAAGGAGAAAAAGATAGACATACATGCAAATAGTTTGCCCCTGGGATGGTAGAACCCTGTGAAGAAATACATGTCATTTATCTCCATTTACCGATGGGTAACTAGGTTCAATGAGACTGATTTGCCCAAGGTCACACAGCCAGGTGATGGCAGAAGTCTCCTTCTGATGCTCTTTGCAAAATGCAAGCCTGACGAGCAGTTCAAAGGTCTAAGAATCCTTAGACTAATACACATGGACCTTGAAACTCGAGTTAAGAGACCAAGGTTCTCATCTCAGTTCTGCCACTGGCTAGCTGTGTGACTTTAAAAGAATCCCTTTGGGGCCGGCCCCGTGGCTTGGCGGTTAAGTGCGTGCGCTCCGCTGCTGGCGGCCCGGGTTCGGATCCCGGGATCGCACGGACGCACCGCTTCTCCGGCCATGCTGAGGCCGCGTCCCACGTACAGCAACTGGAAGGATGTGCAGCTATGACAGACAACTATCTACTGGGGCTTTGGGGGAAAAAAAAAGGAGGAGGATTGGCAATAGATGTTAGCTGAGAGCCAGTCTTCCTCAGCAAAAAGAGGAAGATTAGCATGGATGTTAGCTCAGGGCTGATCTTCCTCACAAAAAAAATAAATAAATAAATAAAATAGTAGACCCTTAACCCACCTGGGTCTATCAAATCAAAGGATTAGGCTAAATGATATCTGGTCCCTTCCTGTTTTAACAACGTACAGTTCTGGGTCATCAGCTTCAGACTGCACTTGGGCCAGAATAAAAGGCCTACTCCCCAGCAATCAAAAAGCAGAGTCGTCCCCAGTCTTGAGCCCCCTCCGTCATTAGCCAGCATCTTAATACAAGACAGAGAACCCCAAACTCATTTCAAATGCTCAGGTGTTTAATGATGGCTCTCGGAGGAAATCGGCAGTAAATCCCAACCAACCAAAAGCTGGCACTTGTCCTCAGCAACCTGGAAACACCCT